GTTTTTGTGTGTGTGTGTGTGTGTGTGTGTGTGTGTGTGTGTGTGTGTGTGTGTGTGTGTGTGTGTGTGTGCGCGCATGTGCCCCCAAGTAGGTGTGCACCTAGTCAAAATCTGGGCCTGTACATTCAAAAGCGGCATGCAACCTGCTGTGCATGTCCTGGATAGGAATAGTGCTTAGACCCTGACGCAGGGACGCAAACCCGTGCACAGCAGCCAGGCATCCAGCGCTGTCAGGGTGGGTGGGTGGGTGGGTATGAACAGGTATCGCGCGCGGCCCAAGCCGGCACATGGCGCTTGCCTGGGGCAGGGCTTGTCCCCGCGCGTCGGCTGGCTGTGCCACTCCATGCGCTCAGTGGTCATCCAGAAGAGCTCATTGCTGCAGGAGCCGTCCTTCACCAGGACGCCCCCAAATATATAAATCTTGTGGTTGACCTTTGAAGGGATTGGAGATTGGCAGGATGGTGGTTCATAGAAAGTGGGCCACTCTGGTCTACGTTTGCGCGAACAGATTTGGTGTTGGTATTACCAACACAGCGGCGTCGTGTGCCGATTGGTATTGGTGGACAGGTGTGTGCGTGGGTGCGTGTGTGCGTGTGTGTGATTGTGCAAGTGTGCGTTGTGATGTGATGTGTGTGTATGTCCTGGTGTGTACGCGCACACTGACGTGAACGCGCCCTCAACTACCAGTGAAACACAAGTCACAGGGCTTTGTAATTTGGGATTTGAGCGTGTTACAAGCGGTCTCATCTTCGCACGCCTCCCCCCCTCGCAGTTTGAGCAGAGCTCGCGCCTTGTACGGGCATAGGGCGAGGCTGGTCGCAGAGGGAGAGCCCCTGCCACTGTGCGTCGGCCCTCCCCTCGCCCCCTCACTGCGGCCCCTAACCCTTACCTGCGTCATGGTGTGCCCATTGCGTATCCAGCAGCGGTTGTCGACCACAAAGTCTCCAAACTCCAGCCGCAGGACCTGCCCCACCTCCGCCTTGCACCTGAGCCGGCGCCACATTTATTTATGCACGTCGGAGCCGGCAGTGCAAATCCCCTCGCGGTGGCCAAGCGCGCTCCGCCGCAGCGCAAGCGTCTGGGCTCATATCAAGCCACACGTGCATTGCTCACAGGCGGGGCCTGCCGTCGCGCAGGACCGCCGGCTGGCATGAACACCAGCCAGGGCCAGTGCACCAGCCGCTACCCCAAAATGTACGCGCCCTGCGCCCCTGCCCTGCACGCACTATCTGCACCTCAAACCCCGGCATCCCCAGGTTCCCAAATGCCGCACCTGTAGGCCGTGTAGGGTCCCAGCTGCGTCCCAATGGGCTTGAGCCGCTCAATCTCCTCCAGCCGCTCGCGCTCCGCCTCCTCCCGCAGAAAGGACAATAGCCTGTCGCGGGCGCGGGCGCCGCCACGCTGCACTTGAGGATGAGCATCATGGCGCGGCGCGGCTGGTTCCACCGGCGCCTGGTCGCCGAGCTGGAGCTTCCAGCCCAGCCGTTGGCCTCGCGACGTATGCATGCACACCCGTTTTTTTGCATGTCGGAGCCGTTGCGGGCAGCATGCGCAGAGCGAGTGCGGCCACAGCGTGTGCAGCGTGCATGCGGCCACACCTCCTCCCCTCCCACCTTGACAGGCCCTCCTCTATCTTGCTCTTGTACCGCTCATCCAGGTTGTTGTACCTGCAACCGCCACGTCCCACACGGACAGCAGGGCCGCCAGGTCAGCGCGATCCAGGAGAGAAGGCCCGCGCCAAGCGCGGCGATGCAGCCAGCAGGGCGCCGCCCCGTCCAAACATCGCCCGTCGCCCCACACGGCGAGGCTTCAGCCCCCTCTGCACCCATACCTGGAGTCAGTGGCGCGCACGCGCTTGCGCTACCAGCCACAGCAAGCCTGTCTGGCCGCACCTGAGGTTGAGCTCCTTTATGGTCTTGAGGTGCCCCATGGAGGGCGGCACACGTACCTGGCGCGGCGCAGCGGAGCAGCAGTGTTGTGACACCCTCAGACGAGACCCTGGCAGACACGCCGCCCCCCTCCAAACACACACACACACACACACACACACACACACACACACACACACTTGCACACAGACAAATGCACACATTTATGCGCCGCTGAAGCGGTACGATACCCCACGTCAAGGCGAGGTGACACCTTTGCACGCAATTGCGGCAGCAGGCTCGATCTGGCACATGCGAGGCCGGTGGCAGCAGCACCGCCCACGAGGCGGTCGCAGGGCCCAACATCAAGGCTGCAGCTGCAGCCACACACCAGCATGTTGTTTGCCGCGTCGATGCGCTGGATCTTTCGCAGCCGCCCCATGCTCGTGGGCAGCGTGCGCAGCGCGTTGGTGGACACGTTGAGCCGCACCAACGCTGGGAGCTCCCCAATCTCCTCTGGCAGGGACTCCAGCCTGCGGAGCGCGTTTGTAAGCATCATGTAGAGATGTGCAGTGTGCAAACGGCTGGCTGCAGGTGCCCACACCGCCGCGTGTGAGCGTGCCCTGTGCCAGGCTGTCACACTAGCTGCAAAGCGTTTGCGGCTGAGCGTGCGCCGCAGGAGCGCGCGGTTCGCACTGGGCCCGCCTGCATGGCGTACAGAGCACATCGGGCCCGTCGCATGTGCGCGCATGTGGCAACAGCCCGATCTGTACCGCAACCCCTGGCTCCCCAAACCCGCCTGTTGTTTTCCAAAAACAGAGCTTCCAGCTTTGGCAGCCGGCAGATCGCGGCCGGCAGCTCCAGCAGCTGGTTGCCACTGAGATCCAGCTCCCTCAAACATACCATTGCTGAGATTATCCCCGGGTCCAGCTTCCCAATTTGATTGCCGGCCAGCTCCAGCACCGTCAGGGCTGGCAGCTGCGCGACGACTGGCGGCAGCTTCCGCAGCTGGTTGTACTTGAGGCGGAGGGTGCGCAGGTGCGCAAACTCTGACAGCTCGTCGGGGACGGCGGTCAGGTTGTTGCTGCGGGGCGGGGATGCATGGCTCGTGCCGAGTGAGTGAGTGCAGCACGTCGCATGCTGCGGCGCGGCGAGCAGTCGCGTCCGGCTGCGATTGGGCATGCGCGTGCTGCTGTCGGCCAGCGGTGCGGCGGTGTCGGCGCTCCATTCAACGCAAACCACTGCTGAGTGTTCACCCTGCATTTGAGCTGCTGGTTCCTCCCTGCCGAGGAGAGGAGTGCGCACAGCAGCAGTTTGAAATTTCGCCGGCTCACCTCGACAGCTCCAGCTCGAGGATGTGCGGGTTGTGCTTCTTGACCAGCTCCGCAAACCCAGACGGCAGCTGCGCAAGGCCTGCATACCTGCGCCGCAGCGGCAACGGGCGTGCCCGCGAACGTGGTCCTGGTCCAAGGCACACCCGGGAGGTGCAGCAGAGCACCAGCAGCAGCGGTGTGCTGCATCGTCGTGCGCCGCAACAACCGCCAGCGCACAGACGTCCTAGACCCACACACAAACACCCAAGTACATGAAATGCACGAGTGCATTCGTTTTGGCTCCTTTCCGCGGGTTCTCGTCCGGCCTGGTCAATGCTTACCCGACATTGAGCTTGTAGCTCTGCCGCGCCTCAGCCAGCCGTTCCTCCAGCACCTCCGGTGTCATTGCGACAGCCATCGTACTTTACTCGCGTGTTTCCAGAGCTGCCGCCCTGCCCAGATCACAATCCCATCTTTATGCGGGGCGGGCCGACGACCCACACGTGCGGTGTAAGATTGTGTGTGATGCCAGAAACTGCAAATTGAAATGAGCGGAACATCTGCTGTTACGAGAAGGCGGGGTATCACCGGGGCGGCGAGCCGGCATGGCGGCAGTGGCGCTGTGCTCTCCGGCGAGCCCTGGTTGGCACTGCGTGCCCTCCACCGGGAGCATCAAAATGATTGGCACAGAAATCAGCGAGGCTCCTGAATGAATCGCTCTGCATCTTGGCACCACACATCGCAAGCTGGTAGATCATTGGCGTGCGGCAAGTGCGGCGTCGCCGAGAGTGACAACATGAGGAGTTGGAACGTGTGAAAGGAAGTTGTTGAGGTGATGATTGAAACCGGATCTCAAGCAGGGGCATGTCGCGGTAGCTGCATCCTACAGCATGCAAAAGGCTGATGTTATCAATAGTGCGAACAGAGAGGCGCAATGGGCCAGCCCGGCAAAACAAACTCTCTAAGGGTTGTGCCCTGACCTGTAGCTTATTTTCCACAAAATCCGTTGGTGCTCAGCGTCTCAATTCTCAGCAATCCTTGCAACTCTCAAGGGGTCTGCCCTACATGCTGGCGTTTTTTGACAAGGACATGCGGAATGGAGCACGGCAAATGATGGGCGGGGGGGCCACACGCCAAAGCTGATCAACTTTCCTGATACGATGCATGCATGATAAATAGCTTACAACGTAGGTTAATTGATATTGTTTTCGCCCTTCCACCTTCAAGTGAACAGAGACGCAGGCCTGGTTACATGAGCGCAGACCAAACCGGTCTTAACTTTCACCAGCTGTACAGCTGTGCACCAGAGCCCAGGCTGGTGTAACAATATACTTATACAGACTCTGTCACATCCGATGGGGTCAGACCACATCGTGAGGCTGCGCAAGCGCCACCTTGTGTCACACAGGTGCACGGTGCAGCGCGGCAGCTGCCGTCGTGTTGTTATCACCCCAACACTGCTGAGCAGCAGAGCAGTTGGCGAGGCCGCAAAGCACTTCGAAATTTGGCGGCCAATTGCACAATCATACAGCAAAAGTCTACGTGCCCCCGCCACCAGGTGTCACTCCGTCGAGACCAAACGCTTCAAGGAACTGTTCAGCCCCAGCAAACGCTGTGTGTGTCGCCATCCGTTGGTTACACATACTGTGAAAAGTATATGTTTTTGCCCTGTGCCAGGACGCCAGACACATTTCCGCGACACTGCTCTGCTCCCGAGCGGTGTGCACACTTTGCGCTCGCTGGCGCGCTGTCGGCACTTCACCCGTGGCGCCGGCCTGGACCTCGGCGCGGCGCCAGCCGCACATCTACACGCGCGCAGCCTGATCACGGCGGCGAGGAGCCGACCGGGGACGCGCCGCGCGGCGCCGAGTGCCCGCCGAGCGGTACGGCAGCCTGGCCCCCCATGTTTCAAAGGCCCATCATCGGCAGTTTGGCAGTCCCCGCCGGCGGCCGCGTCACGCGCCGCAAGGGCCTGCGCCGCGCCGCCTACGCCACGCCGCTCCTAACCGTCGCAATCGCCAGCACGCTGCGCGTAGCTGCCGCGCGGCTGCTGGGCTTCCGCGGCGCCCACGACTGGCCGCTGCGGGAGGAGCTCTTCATCGTCTTTCTCCGCGCCCTGCTTGAGTATGGGGACATCGCAGTGTGGCGCGTCTTCTTCCAGTTCGTCTGCCCAAATCCCCTAAAGCTGCCGCCGGGGATGCGCGACGCGCCGGCGGCGCTGGCGGGCAGCCGCAGCGTCTGGTACGAGCTGGCGCCTGAGCTGCTGCCGGCGCAGCCGAGGGGCCGCGTCAACATGATGTTCATCCACGGTGGGGCGCGGCGGCGGCGTCGAAGCGGCGCGGAAATGATGGCACCAGGAGTCTCGCGAGGCGGGCGTAATGTACGTTGCGCGTGCGCTCTTGCGCGTTTGCTCCGTACCTCGACAAAGCTGCATGCCCCCCCTCTCCCGCGCGCGCGGCGCGCCCAGGCGGCGCGTTCATTGCCGGGTTCGCGCGGCAGTACCAGAACACCTACGTCTGGTGGTGAGGGCCACGCGTGGGGGTGCTTGCGTGCGCATGCGCGCGCGTGTGGCGTTCCTTGTGGCACCCTTATCACCTATCCGTGGCCATCGGCCACAGGCCTGTGCAAAGGCGGCCCCTGCGCCGTCTGGCGGCCGGCCTGAGCGCACCGCATGCAACCCTCTGCCACAGGCTGAAGCAGCTGGCGCGTCGCGGCATCGCGGCCAAGATACTGAGTGTGGAGTACCCACTGGCGCCTGAGCACCCATACCCCGCAGCCAGGTGCAGGCCCTTTTCCCCACTCCCTGTTCGAAGCGTTGCCAGTGCACCGAGCCGCGGAGCAGCGAATGCTACGCCGCATGCTGCCGTTGAAACCAGCCGCGCCTGGATGAGCGGCGCCGCGGGCGCGCGTGGGGGCCCGACGGTTGGGAAGGAGGCTGGTCGGCGATTCCATGGCGGCCGGCTGGGCCGGGCCGGCCCCGTCGTGGCGCCCGGCGCCCGTTGACCGCTTGATGCGACCGCGGCGCCGCCCTGATATGCAGGGACGTCGTTGAGGCTGAGATCCTGTGGCTCCTGGAGCAGTCCGGGGACACCCCCGTCATCATCGGTGCGCGGCCGGCTGTGGTGATCCCGCCGCATCCACCTGCGTCGCACCCAAGTCCCACAGCCTGGCCGATTGCTGCTGCATTCCGCAGCAGGCCCTACCCCTCCCCATGCCGCCCAGCCTACTTGGGCATGCAGCAACTCGCTGCCGCACATGACACACATGACAAGTCGATGTCGGCCGCACCCATCCCCTCCGTCTAGGTGGCGACTCCGCAGGCGGCAACCTGGCTGTGAGCGGGCTCGCCCACCTGCGGGACACCGGCCGCCTGCCGCGGCCGCCGGCGGGCGCGCTGCTCATTTCGCCGTGCGTGGACGCGACAGGGACCAGCATCTTCAGCCAGCGGGACGACGGCGGCGCGGGGCGGTACGACTACCTGCCGCGCGACAAGCTGCACGAGGGGCTGCCCTTCTTCTACTCGCACGTGCGTGGCGGGGCGCAGCGCCGCGGCGTTGGCGGACCGCGCCCGTTGCCGAGGCGTTTGCGGACAGTGATGGGAGATGTCGGGTTGCCATGCAGACGGCTGCGGACAGGGCTTTGCAAGCCCTGCAAGTGCTGCCGGCCTGCCCTGGCGAGAGCTGGCCCCGGTCTGGAAAGGTTTGTGTCGTGAATGGGGCCGGAAGTTAAGCCAAGCCAGGTGTCACCATTTCACCCCATGCGCCCACTTTCAGGAGCTGCTGTCGCCGTACGTGTCCCCCACGCGGCTGGAGAGCTTCGAGGGGCTGGCCCAGCAGGAGATCATGACCATAAGTGGAGAGGCAGAGGTGAGCAGCCTGGCCAGGAGGGCGTCGCTCCACGCGCGCAGGACGCACCTGCAGCGTGGTTGGGAGAAGCCTACGACAAGCCGGGCCGGCACGATGGACAGGTCGCATGCTCGCCGCATAGCACCCTGCGCGGTGTCGAGGTCACTCAAGCCCGCCGCCGCCGCGACCGCCCTGCCCCCGCCCCCCAAACCCGCAGCTCATGGCCCCCGACATCCGGGCGTTTGCAAAGAAGGTGCAGGCCGCATCTGATGCGTCCCTTTCATCAGGGTCCCCCGGCGCCTTCAGGGCGACGTATCTGGAGGAGCCCGGCTGCGTGCACAGCTGGCCCATGCTGCTGTTCCCGCGCCTCAGGGTCAAGCAGGAGCCGATGTTCCAGTTCATCGACCGGATGAGCGGCGCGCCGCAGCTGCCCAACTAGCGGGCGCTGTGCGTTGTCGGGGTGTATTTGGGGACGTTACGGAACGGAAACAGGAAGAGCGTGTGCGATCAGCCATCACAGCACGCCTTGGGGAGGGTGTGATTTGATGATGCCGTACAGTGAAGTGTAGCTTTAAGGATGCCTGATACTTTTGGAGCATGCTGATTTGCCATGATGCTGGGCTTGCTTGACCAGGGTGCGGTCTCCACATGCTTGCTGTACATGACCGCACTGCACACTGCCAGCAACATCGCAGTTTGCTGGGGGTGATGAATGAGGCCTCAAGATTGCGGAATAAAATGCAGACTGAAGCTGCCTTCAATTTGATGGCCTAAATGTAATGTAACCGCACATTAAATTGGTATCCCCCAGACTGAAACGACACGGTGGTGCAACTCACATGTCGGGATGCCAAAGCAGTGTTTAAAGTGTGAGTACTGGTCAAATGCGGGACTGTCAGAGGATGCGTGACCTTCACGCTGGACGCCTGCTATGTAGGTTGTCGAGACGTCAGGGTTGTAGTGCTACGATTCCGGGTGGTAGAACCAGAGGCACTCCTCACCACCATGCGCGCTGTCCCCGTCATGCCGGCGGGGTTACCACCAATGGGGGGATTATACGCTCCAGGGGGATGGTGGCTACTGCCCAGGCTGTTGTGTGCGCTTTCAGTCAGTGAAGTACGGGAGCAAGGCACCATGTGACATTCGTTAGCCTGTACAACTATCCAGCGCTTCCAAACTCTACCTTCTTGGCTACCTCTGGGTCCGGATTGCAAGCTACCTAGCAAGATGCTGCTGCTGCTGTCCATGATAGCAGTTGTCAACCAAGCAGCGGTTGCTGATTAATCTTCAGTATACGAAGCATCTGCAGTCTGCCACGGCCTGAGGATAGTGCCTGTGTGCTATGAATCCGAAACAACTGGGCCTTTGGCGTAACGGTGCAGCTTGCTGTGCGGTATAAAACATGGTCAGGCACCCTTCAGTCAATGTTCAGGTTGGCAATGAGGCAAAGCATGGTCAACGCGTCCTGCAATGCCCTCATCACAGTGGCTCACTCTACACATGCCTCACCCACTTAGTTTAGGGAAGCAAAATGCTGTGTGCTTTGCATCAGTTTGCAACACATAGCAGTTCGGGCAGTTGTCACCGTCGGGGTGGCCGTCACCGGGTGATCTAATGTCCACAAGTCGCGCATGTAATACATATTTGTGGCAAAGGTTTGTATTTCAAGTCTTTGAGGTCACATTCTTGCTCGAAGGCACGTCTTAGCCTTTGTTTGAGCAAACATCACACTGCAATCTCCGCGACGCATGCCTCTTTGTCCGGGTCATAGAGCGCATATAGAAGGTGCGTTAAGCACATGCGCTGGTATCACCTCCGCTGCTGCGCCCATTCGAGCCGCCGGTGCCTGCACATGCCGCCGCCCCTGCTGCCGCTGCTTGATGCAGCGACCCCTGGCAGACCTCCGCCGACCGCGCATGAGAAAAGGCCCAGCGGATTGCAACTCCTTCGTGCCGTGTGTTGAATCGATTCGTGCAGGTTTAATCGGCGATGGGCAAGAAGGCTGGCGGGGGCAAGAAGGGCAAGGGGGGCAACCCTGGCGTCGGCATTGACTTCAAAAAGGTCAAGCACAAGGTCGGGAAGAAGCTGCCCAAGGCCCAAAATGAGACTCGCACAGACTTCCAGGCCCGCGCCATCAACCTGCCCAGCCAGAGCGTCACTGTGGACAAGGCGGGCGCGGCCGTCACAAGCCGCAACCTCACGATACAGGTGGGCGCTGCTGCTGCTGGTGTCGCTGCTGCCGCTGCTGCTGCTGCTGCTGGCGCCGCTGCTGCTGGCGCCGCTGCTGCTGGCGCCGCTGCTGCTGTTTGCACGGGAGTGTCAGGCGGCGCCCCTGCTTTCAATGCCCCACCCCCCGCACCGCTTGGCAGTCCAACTCACTCCGTTAGCGCTGCGCACCAACTCACTCCGTTAGCGCTGCGCACCACACCACAACACAGCTCGCACAGACCACCGTGCCCTTGCC